GTGGGATGCGGATTCGAACCCGCGACCCTCAGATTGTGAGTGAACGTTAGTGGAACAGTTTTCTTTATCCATATATAACAAGTATAATCTTCATCACAGCTGAGATAATTTATTTTCGTTTTATGGAAACAACTGATGACTAGATTACCGCTACAATGTTGTTGTATTCCTGACATTACTTTTATTGTAAGTAACACCATGACTTCACGTTTTCTTATTTCAAAGTTTTAAATTCTGGATTGTAGAGTCGTCCTACAGTCGTTTGTAATACGTAGTGTTATCCGCTTTACCAGTTCATCACAGTATCATTTGTAACACGTAATGTTATCCACGTTATTGGTTCATCAGAGTGTCTCATAATATGTTGTAGCAGTGCTTGTGTCCAGTTCGTTTAACTAAGAGAGTAGTCGTTCGATGTTAAACACTGTGTCAAAATATCTACCTTACAGCAGCTACTTACCTTATTTCTTTAACTTAAAGTTATAATTTAAACAAGGGTTTGTACAATAAACAACCTTTTATTTCGTCCTCCTGCAAAGCCTTAAGGACGGCGGATCTCTGAATTACGGGGGGTGACACTTGGCTTGGGTAGCTTTTCTTGTGCTCTGGCCTGTTACAGAGAGAGAGAGACACACACACACACAATATTAAATATTTAGTTTCAACACAATTAATCTCACTAATGATAGTAAACTGTATCATCTTAAAGTAGTATATAGCTAAGCCTGATTTGTAGCTAAACTCGTTAATGAGGTAAGGCCATCGCGTTATGTTAAGGTATTCCCAAAACACTTTTTAATGTCCTAATTTTGGGGCCTAATGCCATTATGTGGATCGCAACTAAGCTATTAAGATAAAAATTGGTGTAATAGAAGAAGAAAAAAATATTGCCACAAATGCCTTTTTGTTCAATGAAAAAACTAAATTTCTCGATTTTGTACGTTTTTTATGATGTATACATTTTATTATTTCTTCTTTTTTTTAGTTTCAATAGAAAAGTAAGAAAACAATGACAAGTAGCACACCAGAAACTCGAAGCAAAGTTGTTTCTAAGTATTTAATTGGAAATACAATAGATTATAATGAATGGCAAAGGATCATAGAACTACCTACGTTTTGAGGCGGTATTTTCACTACATTGATACTAAATGTTTTTCAAAGATAACAAGAGATATTGAACAAAGCTATACATCCATCAAAGGATAAGTAGGAGCATGATTTAAATGATGCTGAGTTGTAAGGGCCACATTGACATTTCCTGGACTGACTCGTGGGTTTTGGTAGTGAGATAAAATTAAATAGAATCTAAAGAATATAAATCCGCTTTAATTAAATGTAACGATAACTTTAATAAAAATAAGGTTTTATTTAATTCAAAGCAAATATGATTGAAAAAAAAATCAACAAAACATTTTCTAGGTCTTCTACCTTTGATGAACTATGAATGAACTATTTTCTCAAAACCATAACTTATCGGTATGGAGGACTCCTAAAATCTGCAAGTTTCCTGAACTTCGGAATTACTAGAGTTTATCAAAACCTTGGTACGGTAGCATTATATCTCAGCAATGGTCCGTGCAGAAGTATATATATTGAGGTTAAGCACACTCCATACAGAAGTATATAGTGAGGTTAATCAAATCCTATGAGAATGATATTCCCGTTCTAAGCTTGAAGAGCCATCACTCATTCTGATGTTTGTGATTAAACGATAATGTAACGAGTTTTTTTCGAAAGACGTTGACGTCAACCGTAAGCTACACATTTAAACAAACTTTTCAGCACATATCAAGAAAGTTTCCACAGACCAGTTTTAAAAAGTTCATTGGTGCTGCATCTATTTGGAGAAGAACTTGGCAGATGGTGGTCAAATGTGACTTTTATTATTTCAGTTTCTTTGGTCGTCTTTTTTTTCTTCTTCTGAAAACAACCAATGATTGTGAATTTTGAGGATTGGCTGGAATCTGCGAGACATTATTTAAAACTTCATAACAATTGTTTCTTATCTTTTTCTCACTAGCAGGAGGGCATATATGCCAAATTTCATCACCAAATTTCTTAAGCACACTTTTATTTTGAAATTCATTGCCATTCTAAACGTTCTTCAGTTCTGGTTTTTCCCCACTTTCATTGACAACGTTGAAAACTTTGTTCTTCGAAATGCTACATCATTTTGACTTTCTATCGTCTAATAATCTCGCTGTATCACCTTTTTACTTCGGAAAGTGTTTTTCTTTTTCAGTTTTATTCAGACATAAAATTACCCATGTCGAATGGTAGCATTTCGCTCGTGGCGCCACAACTCGCACGTGTGACGCCACGCTACTTCATTAGCATATATAAAAAAAACGTTCAATTTATAGCGATATTAACCTTTTGTTTACACGCGCTTTACGAACAATATAGCAAACTTAGAAAGTTCTCAGGGGTTTATTATAATACAGAGGAGAAGAGCAACAAAAATGAATCACATCACCCATCTATATATCGTTGGAAAGGCTTAACGTTTAAAGGAGTTAACATAAAACAGGCATCGATTCATCACGAACTCCACTATAACGTAACGGTATTTTAAAGTGCATAAGGCAGGGTCCAATATATTATTTAAAGAAATATCATCACGATCTAGTAATAGTGTTACATTCGCTGTAGGTGAGTAGAAGGCAGCCTGACTGTTATCCAAAGAAACCTTACTATGACCTACTACTCTTCCCTCTGAATTAACGAAGCTATCTATGGAGTTATTCATCGTTGATTTTCAGGTATGTATTATTATAAACCATTCAACAGGCTATTTATAATTTCCTAATTATATTGTTTTAATTATTTAATTCTTCCTAACATATATTGTAACATACTTTAGTTACCGATTCATATTATTTTTGATCAATTCGACACAAAATTCATAAGAGTCCGAATTCCTATCAGTTGGCTGTAATCTGCTTAATATAAAAAAAATCACCAGAAATTTTTAGCCAGAAACAATAAACCCACGTCTTGTATATATACGCAAACACATAAATACAAATAAACACAAGTGTATCTAAAAGCGTGTGAATTCCAAGCGGATTATTAAATAACTTGGAAATTAGAATTCTATTTGTAGCGCCATCTAGTGCTAACTATTTAAAAAAACGTTCTGTTGAAGAAGTTGAAAGAATTATTAAAAATATATATATGCATCTTTAAGTTGACGGATGTAAGTTCAAATTACAGTAAAATGTACCTAAATATTTTGTGTCAATTCTGTTGATTTAGTACTATAATCATTATTGGTCAAAATGTTTTATTGAAATTTATTCACGGATTAGCCACTTTTTGTTTTAAAATGATTCAATATATTACCCAGAGTGACTGTCCGTTATAGCTTCAGCGTGACGAGCCAACGTGTCGGCCACATTTTCTGTTGAGTATAAATCCATTGGAGAATTGTACTGCGCATGCACAATTGCCTTCAACGTACGTGGATCACTCTGCAAACAAACAAAAAATGTTTTGCTATTATCATATTTGTGCAAGAGTATAAAAATGAAATCTTATTATTTCTCATTATTGGTCAAATTTACTTCATAATTGATATTATAAACGGAAAAGAGACACCAAATATTTATTATTTTTACTGTTCACTATGTTAAACTACTTATACCACCGGTCAAGGAGAGGCACTATACAATTTATTACTCGTTTCTTCTCTTTGGTAAAAGAGTAATTAAGGAAAGATGCTGAACAGTTTATCGTTAGTGTTCCATTTATTATATCACAGGCCAAAGAAGGCTTAAAAACTGTGTTTATCGTTCGTGTTCCCTTTACTGTATTGCAGATACTACCGACCAAAGAAGGCTACTTGACAGATGCTTAAAAACTGTGTTTATCATTCATGTTTCATTTATTATATTACAGATACTACCGACCAAGAAAGGCTACTTGACAGATGCTTTAAAACTGTGTTTATCATTCATGTTCCATATATTATATTACTGATACTACCGACCAAGGAAGGCTACTTGACAGATGCTTAAAACTGTGTTTATCGTTCATGTTCCATTTATTATATTACTGATACTACCGACCAAAGAAGGCTACTTGACAGATGCTTAAAACTGTGTTTATCGTTCATGTTCCATTTATTATATTACTGATACTACCGACCAAGGAAGGCTACTTGACAGATGCTTAACTGTTAATTCTTCCTTTTGTTCCCTTTGTTAAATCACTGAACACTACCAGACCAGAGAGATATCAAACAGTATATTATATGTCTTGTTGCTTTTGTTAAACACTGATCCAATAATTAAGAAGAGATACCAAACAATGCATCCATCCTATTCCTTCAGTTACTCCATTGATATCACGGATTGAGAAGAAGTAACGTTACGATCCACTTACGTATTACATCATTGATTGAACGCATACATTACATTGTGTTATCCTTTATTTTTCATCACCAAGACGTACTGACCAGAAGAGTTTCACCAACATGACGTCTTTATTATACCAACCTACTATCTTAGAAATAAAAATAAAGTAAATTCTTGTTCTCAAACTGATAAAAGAAAAATCAGTTGGACATTTATACATTACGTTATTTCTAACAGATTAGAAACCCTCTTTCGTTAACAAAAATATCCCGGGAACCCCCATAAAACCGACGAGTGACTGTTTGTCTCGGTAATTAAAATGTGTTGACATCTTTGTTGTGAGAGATAATAGAGCATATATCACAAAACAAAAATAAACAATAACGAGCCTTGCCAGATGTATGTTTCGCCATGGGGTTTAGATAGATTAATGATAAAAACACCACCACAAAGTTATTTTGAAATAAAATTCAACACTTAATATTTAAATGTTGACTTAAATAGTATGAATTATTCTATTTTTAAGAAACTTTGATTGCTAAGATATTTTTGTATTTAATTTTAACAGTAGTCTCACAGAGAAAATGAATTTAAATCTAATTACTGGTAATTGTAGTAAAATATTCTCTGAAAACTCTAGAAACCGGGTTTCGATACCCGTGGTAGCCACAACACAGATAGCCCATAATGTAGCTTTGTGCTTAACAATCAAACAAACTAGCTGAAAACAAAAATATGTGAAATTTAAGTTAAGAACGTTAAATATGGAGAATAAAAAAATCTAACCAAAATTGTTAAGCCACAACTTACTTGTTTCTGCTCCTTCAATAGGTCTCTGAAATGAAAGAAAATATTTTTTTCATGGATTTTTTTTACATATCAGTAATACATAGTTTTCAGATATGTATAAAAATGTTACTGTAAATTTACTAACATAATAACAATGTTATATTTGAGATTAATATTTTAAATGATTAATACGTTTGTAAAGAACTTTTAAATTGTTGAAATAGTTGTGTCAAAGCTCGCTGCTAAGTTTAACTATACGGAAGGTTATATTTATTTAGTACATTTTGTCATATCTTTCTACATTAATAATTATACAAATAAAAGATGTTAAAGATACAAGAAAACGTTTCATATATATATCTTTTTTAAAGATGCAAGAAAACGTTTCATATATATCTATTTTAAAGATACAAGAAAACGTTTCATATATTTCTTTTTTAAAGATACAAGAAAACGTTTCATATATTTCTTTTTTAAAGATACAAGAAAACGTTTCATATATTTCTTTTTTTAAGATACAAGAAAACGTTTCATATATTTCTTTTTTA